CAATAAAATCTCAACGCCTTAGGCGTACGTTCCAGTTTCAATGCAACTCCCCTTCGGCCCGTCCTAATATCTTACCCTAATCGCTTACAGTTGGCAGCATGGCATATTTATCTACGTAGTTGAAATTGAAAAGCTCACTGGCTCTTGCTGCCTTTGGTACTCTGTGTGCTGGGCTTGGAATCGAGAAAACGAAAATTAAATACATCCATATATATAAATATATATACATATACATTTACTTACATCCATATACAACTGGATATACATATATGTAAGAAAAGAAACATGGAACAGTTTGTAAGAGCCTTTAGTCGGCTGATTTATTTACTCACTGCGTGCGAAAAATTGAACTGGAAAACTATTTAAAGTTCAAGTGGGATATTGCATTTACCCCGGTTATTATGATATTTTATTTCGATAATTTAATAATCACGCAACAATTGTATGTGTAATAACTGGCGACAATTTCCCTATTGACCCCTCAATGTTTGTTCTTTGTTATTTTACAATTTTTGTATACCTTGTAGACGGTATTTCAATTTTCGCATTATAAAAGTGTATAAAGGAGCCATATTTTACCCAATAAAGTATATGTGTTCTTGATCAGCATCAGCAGCTGGGTTAATATAACCATGTCCGTATGTGTGTTTCTGTGCAAACTAGTCTCTCAATTTTAAACCTTTAGTCTTGAATGCTTTGCATAGGTCTGTCATTCTTTTGCAGACCACACATATGCCCCTTACATATAAGCCAATTCTCATCAACGTTGGCCCAATATGTCATATCGCTGTTATAGAAACGATCTGTCTAAAATTTAGTTATGGTATGAACAGTTTTTTTGCTATCAAGCTTTTTTGACCGAGCTCATATCTTATCCACAACATTGATTGCAGTATGACTTTTAGTCAAATGTTCTTCACAATCAAATTTCTAGTTATTTATTATTGGATATAAAGACAGTCAATCTGCTTGTGAGTGTAATTGAATAATTAAAAGATCTACGTTAAGTACGTGTGTGTCAAGAACTTGCATCAGCTAAATCCCAACTATGTGGCTATTAACGACATTTTTGTTTATCCCAAAAAAATATTTCGCTTCGTTGAGGTTCGCTGCTCGTAAAGAGATACAGAATACTTTTTTATGGAGATAAAAACAGAACAACAAAATTTATATTATCAATAACTTGATGTATTCAATTAGTTCATTTTTAAACTTTAATGTGAATTATATTTTTTCTGAGCTTCAATATTTAAAATGCTACTCCTAATAAACTGAATAAAAGGGTCCGATTGCTATGTTTTCAACTTAAATTTTTTAATTTTAAATGTTTATTGTAATGAATTAAAAATTCATTCATTTTTATTACAACGCAGTTGGCTTAGGTGATATTTCGCCAAGCCTGGTTGAGTCCTCGGGCTTTATCGTGGACAATCGTCAAATGCGGCTTTTTTGAATAAGGCTTTTAAGTTTGTGTAAACCATACAATTTTGTAATTCATCTCAGTTTCTGTCTAAATATTTAAACAAATTTTTTTATGCCCTGTTAATTTCGTAAGGTATCGAATTTGTGAGTTGAGATGTATGAAATTCTTGTGCAAAACCAATTTATGTGAGCCAGAGCTCAGGTGGTATACGCAAAGCACAGCTGGTTTACTGGATGGACTAAAAGCAAGTAAAAACACAAACTTTGAAATGTGAGGGCTGGAAAAGTGAACGGTGGGAAGTCAGTTAGGACTTGAGCTGAACGGAATGTAGTCGGTGCTACAATGTAAAAGTTAAAAGTTTTGTTTATTAAATAAAAATAAATGCAAGTTAATTAATTAAAAGTTGAAAGAAGATAGAGCATGCACAGAGCATATTGCCTGCATGTCGATGTGGGCGTGGAACGCTGTAGAAGCAGCCCTATGTGGCTAAGTGCTCTGGAAAGTATGTTAAGCTTAATTAGCAGCTTCTACTGATGCCACATGGCATCTTAGCCAAGTGCAGCTGTTCTGCCCAGAATTGCTACTCTGGGCTCGTATATGCTGCCTTATCCGGGCCATAAGTTTTAATGCCGTTGCTTTCGCATTTGCTGTTGTTTTTGTGTTTGTTTTTTTTTTTTGGCATGTGCGCCATAATTTGGCAACAGTTTCAAGCAAGAAGCATCAACAACAACAATGAAGACAGCAAACTTAATACAACAACCACAGACGAGGACGCACAATGCCAAGAGCAAAAACGTCGGCCACGTCAACGGCCAAAACAAAAACCACAAATAACTACAACTGTGCATAGCAAAATTAAATTTGAAAAAAAAAAAAAACAATAATAATAATAATTTTCATGACATTAACATTGGAAGCAGAGTATTTGAAGGCGTTGACTGAACGATGGCAACAAACGAATTGTCGGAAAGTAACACAAATGCAAAGAAAGATACAGATACAGACACAGATACATATGCCAAAACAATTGGCAGCTGACTATAGAGCATTTTGGGGTTTGTTTTTGTGGATCCATGTTTGAATCTTCCGCTTGTGGCCTGTCGCCACTTGTCAGTTGCGGCCTTCTTCCATGAAATTCCAATGAAAGCTGCTAACCTGCATTTCGTCAATTGAAAGGGGCTAATATGTAAATTTTAAGACAAAGCAACGTATTGATGTTTTTTGTGTTTGCTTAAGTTAATTTTTTCTTATAAATTTTGAACTTAAATTAATGGAAATCAGTTTGGCCACAAAAATTAATCAAACACCCACGGCTAAAAGGCAAAAGGCGTCGTTCGCTGGGTACAAAATTATAAATTTAAAAATTAATATATATATAAAATTAAGGCGAGCATCGGAATCGGCAGCGCCGGCGGCAGCGACAATGTGACGGTGACGCCAGCGGTTCTGCCTCTGCGGCAGCGCTTTGATGAGCGGTGACAAACATCTATAAGATGCGAATACATATTTTTAAACAAAATTATTATCGCATTTTTGTTTCTCTTTTCATTTTTTGTTTTTTCATGGTGCTTCTCGTGCTGTTTTCGAATATTTATGCGCACTCAATTTTTATTTTATAGAACTTAAAACATATATTTATATTTACACATGCACACACTTATATTTATTTGCTTTTCTATTTCTATTTCCTTGCAGTTGCTTAATTTGGACTAGCGCCAAGGCGAGGCGGCAACAGCAACAGCAATAACAACAACAACGTCATTTTGCCATATGCTTTGGCTCATTGCAGCCAACTTCCTTTGCTGGCAGTTTCCATAATTAACAGTACTTTGGCTCTCAAAGCTGAAACCCGAACACAAAAAACCGAAACGCAAAGATATAGTCAATATATTTTGCTAAAAATTTGTCACGCAAACGAGTAAATCCAAAATGAAATACCCCTACGCAACTGGGCGTCTAATTTAAAGCTCGTGGCCGCCAAAATGCGAGTGGCCAATTTGTTGAGTGTGCGACAACAACAACAACGACAACAACAACAGCAACAATATCTAACAACAACATCAAAAAGGCGGCTACGTTGCGAGCGCTAAAAGCGTGTGCGAACATGAAAATAAAACATCACCAGGAAATAAATTCAGAAAAAATTATAAATATAAATACAGAAAACCGAACAAAGTCGCATACAACTATAGAATAGTCTATATATATACACAGCCTATATATACTGAAGGGAGTAAAAAAGAAACAAAACTACAAGAACAATAATAATTGGGACTTTTTTCACATCTTAGTTGCTTGGGTGGGTAAATGGAGCCTAAAATACTCACGAATACGACGATACATATAGGCTAAAAGTGTTGTGAAGCGAGCAATATCAAGAGTGACATTCTTTGGCGCAGCTGCCGTCATATAAATCATTAGAAATATACAGGGTGGCTTAAAGTTTTCGTTTTAGAGGAGTGCCAGTAACCCATGGGAGTGCACTAGAACGGATCACGTGGTTAAAATGCATTGTTTTTTTTTTCTGCTAGCAGCACATGAAATCGATTTAATTTCTGAATGTCGCCCCAGCTAAGCACCCTTTATGTAGACGTCAAATTCATGGAAGGGCGCCAATTTAGTTTTGACTATACGAAGCTTGATCATGACATAGAAATGAAACAGTGATTATTCAAATACCCTGGAGCCAGAGCAGAATCTAATTAGTGTATAGTTAGTATATTTCTAAAATGTGGACCGACTAGTAGCAGACACCCTATATATTTAGGCCATTCAAACAAAAAGCAAAACGAATTCTACGTCAGCATATAAACAAATATTGACTTAAATCAATACAAATGCCAGCGGTGGCAAAAAACACACTTATAAATATATATAATAACTTAACTCATACACATACCAAAAAAGAAAGGAAAATTGAACGCATGATTTTTTATGCTTTTACCGATTTTTTCTTTCTTTCTTTGTGTTTGAATGATTTTGCTTTTACGACAGAACGGCAAAAGCGTCGAAACATTTTGAGTTGGTGCAATATAAATGTGAAAACCACTTGCACGAACTATACCAAAAATAAATGAAAGACAAGAAATGTTAAAAATAAAGACTAAAATACTGAAATTTTGTGGCAGCATCAACACCAGCAGCCGCAGCAGAAGCAGCTAAGCGACGCGGTCTCCGCAGCAACCAAAAAAAAAAGGAAAAAAATGTACAAAATTAAAACGCAGCCGCTTGAGCCAAAAAAAAAACCAATCAACGGACAGAGACAGCTACAACAACAACAAAAACAATAACAACAACAGCAAACAGAATAAAAACAGTAGCCGCATAGCTAAAACGCCAAACAGTCCAGCAAACTCGGCCGCGGCAGCGACGACGCCTCCATAATAATATTATCATTAACAGCAACAGCAACAACAACGGCAACAACAAAAGCAACAACAACAAGCGACAACGGCCACAAAGAGCAGCAGCAGCAACGCCGTGAACTGAGTGGGCGTCGGCTGGCGTTGGCAAGGACAGCGGCAAGAGCGACACGAACGTGAACGTGGACGTTGGCGTTGACGTCTCCGTCTCTGCCTCCGTCTCTGCCGTCTCTGCCGTTGTCGCACGGTGCGCGCCACATTGGCGAATCAATTTCCGTTGCGGTGGCCGTTTCAGTTTTTGTTTCAACGTCGCTAGCGCCACGCGTGTCGCGAATCCCTAATGGCGCACCTCCTCGTCGTCGGTGGCTGTCCAGCGAATTAACGCAGGCTCATGAGATTGAGACCAAGACCGACCCAATACCAATACCGAGACGAAGAGTGAGACCGAAATCAAGGCCAAGTTCAAAAAGTTAAGCAAAGCCAAATACAGCCGCAACGGCTAAAAGTGAGAGAAAAATATTACAAGTCGTGACCATAAACCAAAAAGAGAGTGTACAAATTTGAGCAGACGGACGTGTCCGTGCCCGAGTGAAAGTCAAGCCAAATGCAAGCCATGCAGTGCTTGGAGCTTGGCCTGCTGCCCGCATTGCCCACCGCAGCGGCAGCAACACCGATGCGGCGCAGAACCAGCGTCACAAGGTTACGCAAAAGACTCTGCCGTTGCAGCCGGCGGCCAGAGGCAGAGCCAGAGCAAGAGCAAGAGACATCGGTGCAAGCACGTTCAATACGTCGCTCCAACACAACGACTTCAAATAACAATCCCAGCCTCAATTTGACGCTGATCAGCGCCACCGCAGCCCTGACAACGGCGGCCATCTTGCACACAACAAATGCTGTGACTGCAACAGTTGGCGTTGTCGACGCCGTTGCACTGCCACTGCAAGGCACTGCCACGCCCATGCCCGCCCTAACACACGAACTAAACGCCACGCTGCTAAGCAGCACGGCAGCCGCACTCTTAAATGACAGCAGATCCCAGCTTGACGCTGGAGTTGCGCCGGCCGGCGGCGTCGAGAATTGGTTCGACGATGCGTTCTGGGTGCTTAAGGCATTTGTCATGCTGTTCATCATCATAGCGGCCATTTGTGGCAATCTGCTTGTTATTATTTCTGTGATGCGTGTTAGAAAATTAAGGTGCGTATACGTAATGTGCTCAACTACAGCTTAATTCTAATTTGGCAGATACCGCCCCTTGTCTCCGGGCCCGCGTCTCCAGCTACCGTCTCCCCCACTTTGCACGCTTACATTCTAATTATCTGTGAAAAGCAATTAGCGTTGCTTTCTCTGTCTGAGTTTTTGTTGTAATTGCATAAAATACCTGAAGCTGTGCCGCCTCCTGGGGCTGCCTTGATTGCCAATTTGCGCGAAACGCCTTGCCAACCCACACCCCGCACCTGACGCAGCCCTAACACTTTCTAATTATTCCGCTTTCATATGCTCAATTTTTGTCAACTTCGCATAAAATTCCTGCACGTCCGCCTGCCGTATACCATGCCCGCATCTGTATCCGAAATCGTGTCCCATTCGTATCCTGTTTTTGCGCTCGCTTTGCTGTCAGCCATTTTACTTCCAATTCGCTTGAATTTTATGTAGCTGCTTTGTTCCTTATTTATTTTGAACGTAATTGAGCGTCTATCTACTACCCGCTACCCTCTGCCCGTTATCAACAACTACCATTTTCATGTTCCACATTCTGTAATATTTGCATTTCTCTTTGGCCAGAGTTCTACAATACAATTTCCTCTTTTTTTGATTTTTCTGATTTTACTGCAGGAAGGAAGTAGGAATGACTAACTTAGATGTACCCGACTAACATATACTCTGTCAAAACAAATTTCAGCAAGATATGGATTTGATAAAGGGCTACAAAACGCTCAACCTTCAGTCTCTCGTACTCCCATTTGTTAGAATGTGTAACCTAAAATATGCACTAGACCAAGTTTTAGAGCTCGCTAGGTTATGCACCGTATTTATTAAAGTCTAATACAACATTTTTGTCTAGTATATTTAAGTTTTGATCTTAATTTTTAATTAATTAAAATAGTATTGAAAAAGTTAGTTGAGAAAGTTAAATCCAATTGCTGATCTGAAGTACCCAAAACCTGATCTGAAGTTCGCCCAAAAACACAACTACACACAAAATCTAAATGTTTGTTAACAGAAAAATTAGCATAAAAAACCAGACTCGAAGGCAATAAAATCATTTCGATTTTGGATACGTTAGGATAAAAAACATCTATTTCAGTCGGCTGCTAATATGTGCAACATCATTAAAAAATACCCCTTGGTACATGCATTACAGCTAAAGGGTATTAAGAGTAGGGCTGCTTCGGCGCAATTCATTAATTTGTTGACAAATTAAGTTTTACGACTCTTTTTTAAATGTGCAAGCATACAATTTGCTTGCTAAGCGATTATTAATGGTCACGCTAGAGTTTTTAATTTTATTTTTTGCTATTGTGCCGATTCTCCTAGTAATTTCTATTAAATAAAATATAAGATGTGACAATTCTTTTTCTATTTTCTTCTTACTAACTGTGAGTTACAAACGTTCTTTGAGCCAATGTGCTTATCTTCTTATATGAAAGTTTATTCTATACATTTTTTTGTTTTTTTTTTTTTTATTTTTGTTCATTAGGAGGAGCATGTGCTATATATGTTCACTTTGAGTTGAAGCGCCATGTTTAATTATAAACGGATAAGTCTACTCTATAAAAAAGGAATGGCTGGCATATACAACTTTATTGACGATTCTCTGAATTGAACTGCATAGGCAATGAATGCTTTTAAGTGTTGTTTATAGTTTTCATTTCATTTTTGGCTTTTCATAGATGTGCACATATAAATTGACGTACAGTCCCAATGACAAGCCAATAAACCTTCGCATTATCAATTTGCAAACGAAATATAAATATAGCCACTCAACTATTCAGACACACGCACACACACACATGCACATACATACGCACATGTGGGGCAATATACACTTGTCAACATCTTAGCGAGACGACCTCGTTAGATGCGCTGTCAACCGGCCGCACGGTGCGGGGCGGAGGTGGCGTCCTTCGCTCGACATTTATGTAGAAAGACATTGCCGTAAAAAAGTTTTCTAGTGATAAATGATGGGTCGTCAGCTTGGCTCGGTTCGTTAATATTTTTAGTTATGCCTTAATAACTGGCAGGCAAATCAATTTAGCGCTTCATAAAACCCACGGGAGTTCCCCTTTCAGAGAAGGTCCGCCGGGCTCACATAATCAAAGTTAACTGCGTCGCACCGTTTTGCAGTCATGCAATCAAAAGTTGTTGCCAGCAAGATTTTGCCACACCCCCTTCAGGTTACATTCACTGTTTTTTATAATGCAAATTCTTTTGTAGTAATGAAAACTTTAAATCTTAGCAAAAGGAGTGCGTAAAAAAGGCAAGAGAAAATAAGGCGAACACACTTTGTTAGATAGCAAAAGGAAGAATAACAAGAAGCCGTGGGGCTCGGGAGGTTGGCGTAATTAAGGTTGAACGTCTCTTAATTTATCTTTTTTGCTGCTAATGAGCAACATTTTATTTTTTAAGTGACTTGCGAGTCGGCAGTCTCAGAGCCTAAAAAAATAATGATACTAATGCTCATTAGGGTGCTGCTGCTGATGATGATGATTATGACGATAATAATGATGGTGTATCTGGGCTTCTACGTGTGTTAAGTCGACGTTTACCCAAAGCGCGCCTTCTATATATATAAATCTAATTTCTGGCCAACATTAACGCCGTCCAGGCGCAAAAGATTCAACAAAATCCGAAAGCAGCGTGCGGCTTGTAAATCGCCAGCTGATGTCGGCCACGAGCTGCAAATCTATTTATTGTTCTATGATGCACATATTACGCATAGATGAGACGTTCCTTGAAACAAAGCCGTGAAGAATAGAATGTGGACACAAACAAGCAAACAAGAAAGAAATAATAATATGTGACAGTTAAACTTATAAAAAATTCCAAAAAAAAAAAAAACGTCATACAGTCGACAAAAAGTGGTGGAAGAATCTGTAGCCCTGCGAAGGCACGACTAGACGATATCCTAGCACCTGCTCACACTCGAATTTAGACACAAACTTACGTCTTCTATTCTATACTATTCATAGAACCAACAATTGCTTTTTTAATTGGTATTACTGGATAACTTTTATATCTTTTATAAATAGTAAATCGACTGTTCGCGATCAGCAAGTATTTAAAGAATACAAATTTAAATAACATTAGCATATAGGTACGACGGCAAACTGACAACAGATACGAGTTATGCTCGCTTTCAACCATTTTATAGGGCAACCAAAAAAAAAACAAGTGACACAACAGAAACAGAAGCCCCTCAGCCGAAACTTTGGCAATTAAGGCGGCTTATGGTTTTTATGACAGCATAAATTTAAAATTTTCTATACGCCGCACAATAAAAACGCTTGCCATCGTGCTTAAAATTATTTTCACATTTTTACGCTGTTGAAGATGAGCCACGAGCCATAGCTACAATCGCAGCCACAGTTCTATATGTACTTAGAGTGGCATCTAAAATGTAGCAACCGTTTGCCATTACATGGAGGCTACTGATTAACGCCGCGGCGCCGCCTTCACTTGAAGGATGCACGGCAACTGTTTCAGGGTTTTTTTCCAACGCCAGCCGCCAAAGTGTTTAAATGGTAATTTCTTTCTGTTTGAAGAAACCTAATGGTTTAAGTAGACTAGCTAAGGACGGCAATATATATATATATATATGTATATATATATATATATATATATATATATATATACATACAGAGAGCGAGAGAGAGGAAAGGAGAGTGACAGGCACAGAGAACGGCTAAATAATGGCAACGCATTTACAAAATGGTGGCTACTTATTGCAATTAACGGCTCAAAGCTCTGCGAGTTATTTAAGAGCTACAGAAGTAACGCTAGAGTAATAGATAAACAAGCCCGTTGCAGGCATCTTAAAACTATACGCTTACCTAACATTAATGTGTATTATTGATCGTTAAAACTCCCAGTAGTAGATGGTAATTACTTATACGCCATGTAAATTGTTTAATAGGAATGCATTGAATAACTTTGCGTACTAAACAGCTGCGAAAACTCCACATTCTGTCATTCCTGCTGCTCATTATGCACCGAAACCGAATGAAATGTATACAGTATTCATAAGGAGCAATTTGTAGCCTTGGACAGCTATGCCATATTTTTCGTTTCGATTGTCTGCCTTTTAATTATGTCCCATGCTGATAGCACAATGCAAACTAAAATAATTTGCTGGCCCTTGCAGAGAGGCAGCAGTATAGTAGCTGCTTACCCCTTGGGGGCAATGGCACGCGTTACACATTGTGCAATGCCAGCACCCACACAAAGAGCAAAACGCACTAACACACTCTCACGGATACACACGTAGAAGCGAGCTGGGGCATCAGACGATATCCTGATTAGTCCTTTAAAGGCATGTCGTAATTTAGCCCTTTTCATATTGCTTATATCTGTTATTGTTGTGTTGTTGTCATGATTCGTAATATCCCATGTTATTTTCGTTTTCTGATTGTGTTCTTTCTCTTTGCAGAGTTATAACGAATTACTTTGTAGTTTCCTTAGCCATGGCTGATATAATGGTCGCTATTATGGCCATGACATTTAACTTTAGTGTGCAAGTAACTGGGCGGTAAGTACAAAAACAATACAAACAAAAACACACACACACATACACATACTAAAACAATAAAAGAAAAACAGCTGCAACTGAACACAGCACCAAATAAAATGAACGGGGTACAGCAGCTTAGCAACGGCAAAGGCTGGAGGGGCAGCAGGTTGGGTCGGAGGCAGCGTCCGAGCAAACAGCCAAAAAAAAAACCCTGAAAAATGAAAGAAACATTTATTTATACTGCCTGCTGTACGAGTGGGCGTGTCTGCATATATCCCCATGTATGGTAATGTACACGTGTGTGTTAGTGTGTGTGTGTACAGATCTGTGTGCGTGATTCTATGTGCAAATGCAAATGCACAAAGTCATCTCGCTCTGTGTTTGAGCTCATATGCGTACGTTTGTGTTCAAGTATTAAAATGTGCGAAAACTAAACAAAAATTTAAAGCGCAAATACATTTTTCAGCACGATCATAGCACACTCTTTGATATGAAATTAATTTGTGGTTTCTGTAATATTTACTTTAAAATTAAATCAAAAACAACATGTAAAACCAATTGGTATATAAAACATCAAGTATGTTTAGTATGGGAAAAATTTATTTTCTCTGCAATCACAATATTATTATATTATTTGCATATTTATTTAAAGTTTATATCTACTGCGAAAATAATTATTTTTAAAAGATTCATCTAATTAGAAATTTCTTAGGGTAGTTTGCGGAAGTACTTGAAGGCAGAAGGTTAAAACTACGCTGCTAGAAATGAAAGTCCAATCGACAGATTTAAATGTTGGATGCTTGAACTATTTTACTTTATTCACGTGCTTGATTTTTTTTTTTTATATTCCTGTTAAGCAATTACGTTCGTTATGTTATTTCAAGCTATTAATAATATTTTTTTTTTGTTTAATTTCCTCCGCAACTTTTTCATTTTGAGATAACTTGGCGTTCCAGACACTATTATATTGCTGACCGACTTTTAGTTCGTAAGTGTATGCATACTCATGGAGAATGGGCACACACAAGCGCACTCTCTGAATTGCTTTTCTAGGGGACAAAAACCGTCAGAGTGTGACATGGTCACATCCTTCACAGTGCCAGTGTGTGGGTGTCTGCAATTGTAATATGTGCATGTGATGTCATGTACTGATACGTAGCTGAGTTAATTATGCACAGCCGCTGCTTTAAGCCCTTACTTTAAGCTTGACTTGGAACTTAAGATCAGCACAAATGTTTGCAATGTCATCGCCAGCAAGAGCAGCGCATAATGTGCACACTTTCTGCCTGGCATGAGTCGAGGCACCAACGGAGCAGGGCAGATCCGGGGCAAGCCAGGCCAGGCCGAAAACTTCAGCAGGCCACTTGGCCACGAAAGTTGCATATAAATTGGCAATGGCCGCAGTTGGTGCGCCCAATGGGCTCGTTACCAACCATAGCCGCCCACTTGGCATTCATTAGCAATTTTACCTTCACTGTCGCTAGTTGCATAATTGACTCTGGCCCACGGCGCCGACGTGGCCATCGTTGTCATGCCACTTTTTACATGGGCCAGCTTAAGCGCCAATTCATGACAGCGCCGAGCCGAATAACAACAACTAGCAAAAGGCTGAAAAGGCTTTGCGACTACGCCTACGACCATGTCTAGATCCCGGCATTGCTGCAGGCGTGCGCACATACAGTTTCTGAATAGTCAAAAGTTTTTGAAACTGATGCCAAACTGGTCGCACGATAATAAATTTTCATGCCCGCTGGCATAAAGAGCGAACTAGTCGAGCTGTTCGAGAAGGTCGGGGAAGGGCAAGGAGCGTCAGAGCGGTTAGGCGGCAACCAGCAGGGACAACAACGCGAGTTTTAATGAGTTTTTCATGCAAGCCGCTCGATTGCGCTTAAGTGTGCGTGTGTGTGTGTGCTTTTGTTGGTGTCTGTGTTGGCGCCTCTGCCTGTGGCATCAACAGCAGCACTGTAGTCATCCCCACATTTCAGTCTGTGCCTCACTGTCCATTAAAGCATTTTAATTTGGGCTCTCTGCGAGAATCGCTTGGCATGAAAATGTACCAGTTCATGGGCAATGTCACCTGCTAGCCGAAACCAACTAAGATGAAATCGATAAACACATAAATCAGATATGCTGACAAGACAGTTAGTGGCTTTTGGGTCTTACCACTCCACAAATATACTTAAGAAACTCTGGTAGAACTTTCAGTTTTCATAGCATACTTTGTGGAGCAAATATTCACTTTTTAAGAATAACATTATTTATAAAGTGTAATCTGCGGCATGCTTAAACATATTATTTATTTTCATAATTTAATGTTCCCTCGATTTTCAGCTGGAACTTTAGCCCCTTCTTGTGCGATCTGTGGAACAGTTTGGATGTGTACTTCTCAACGGCAAGCATTTTGCATTTATGCTGCATATCTGTGGATAGGTGAGTACATACATATATACACACACATACACACACAGATATATATGCATGCGAGTGTGTGTTCATTTAATACTGCATATGACAGCTCACTTGAAATAGTAATAACAGTGGCCCTGCAATGGCTTCCTTTTTGCAGATACTATGCAATTGTAAAGCCTCTCAAGTATCCGATTAGCATGACGAAACGCGTGGTTGGCATTATGCTGTTGAACACATGGATATCGCCGGCATTGCTCTCATTTCTACCCATTTTTATTGGCTGGTATACGACAGAGGAGCACAAGATATTTGTGAAGGAGAATCCCGAACAGTGCTCGTTTGTGGTAAACAAGTTCTATGCCATCATTTCAAGCTCGATTTCGTTCTGGATACCCTGCACAATTATGATTTTCACTTATCTGGCCATTTTCCGTGAGGCCAACCGGCAGGAGAAACAATTGATGATGCGCCACGGCAATGCAATGCTCATGCATCGTCCATCGATGCAGCCATCAGGTAGGAGTAACAGGCAAAGCTTAAATTACCATTCGGCCAGGCAGACTGTCACAGCAAGGCATCCTGAGCCTGAAGCCGATGCTAATCCTCGCCCGTTTATCATGTTCTTTTGTCAGGCGAGGCGCTGAGTGGCTCGGGCTCATCGAAAACATTGACACTGCATGAGGTCGAGCAGGAGCATACCCCGACAAAGGACAAACATTTAATCAAAATGAAGCGGGAGCATAAGGCCGCACGCACTTTGGGCATCATCATGGGCACCTTCATACTCTGTTGGCTTCCATTCTTCCTATGGTAAGTGAGCAATGCTACCCGCTGGCAAGGGGCTCAAGTATAATTTATTTGATGTTGCGCATGCATAATTAAATATTACTTATTCGCCACGGAGTGACATGGCTCTTAAATGGGTTTTTTGACAGTTACAATTTAAATTTTGGTATTTATATTTACTTATTTATATGACTTGACTCTTTCATGCATTCACAGGTATACGCTCTCCATGACCTGCGGACCATGTCAGGTGCCAGAAATTGTTGTCTCGATACTCTTCTGGATTGGCTACTTCAATTCCACGCTCAATCCACTGATCTATGCGTACTTTAACAGAGATTTTCGAGAGGCTTTCCGCAACACATTGTTGTGCCTGTTCTGTAACTGGTGGAAGGATCGCCACATGCCACTCGACATTGACATACGACGCTCAAGTCTACGCTACGATCAGCGTGCCAAGAGCGTCTACTCGGAGAGTTATCTCAACTCGACCACGCCCTCACATCGCCGACAATCGCAGCTTGTCGACAACTTATAATACAGGGACGAGGCGCTGCTGACGCCCATTGCACAGCAGCAGCAGCGGCTGGCAACGGGCGCCCGTGGCTCCGGAGCTGGCTCTAAGGCGGATCCCGTACCCAAGCGCAGTGTAGGCAACCTGTCGACCGAAGATGTGCAAGAGATACAAATCGAAATACCCATGGAATATATCAACAAATGGAACAAGAATAACAACGCAGCTGCCGCAACGGCCTCCAGTCACGTGTAAGGGACTGAGAATAGCTGATGACAACGGCAACAACAGCAATCCGGACATTGGCGAAGTTGCGTCAATCGAACAAATGCAATTACATTTTCCATTAATTTTTAAAATTAATATGCTGGTTGCATTCATGTTGTACATATTTAAGTCAACATTACGGCATTACTCGTGTACATAGTGCACTCTATAAACGCGTTGTCTGTTTGTTTTCGTTTTTGTTTTTCTTTCGAATTTATTGAGCTTTAATTTACTGGAACAGAGTGAACATGAGTAATTTATTATTTATTTTTATGTCGTACTTGTTGTGCCGTCATGTAAATAGTTAATTTTTTTTTTAATTATATATATATATATATATAAATTTTACAACTATATTAAGCTCAGGTTGTAAAGCGTTCAGCGTTAACAGACATTTCTATGCCCAGCAGAACTATTCGTAATGACATCATTCAAAGGGCAATCAAAACATTATGTTAAGCGTCTATATAAATATAGGAACCAGTACATAAGGCAACCAAGCAATAGGAAGAACAAAAAAAAAAGATACATATATATTTAATAATATATATACATACAAACAAAAAAATCTAAAATTTAAACTGTGCCAATTACCCAAATAAAAAATTATGAACTACTTATATAGGCGATCTGTCGCATTAAAAAAATAAATACCAAATGAATAAAATACTTTAAATAAATATATGGCACACAAGAATGCAATTAAATTGACGAAACTATACCTAAATATATATGTGTAAGTACATATTACATCTATATATAGAATAAATGTTATATATGATCGACAATCGCATGAAATAAGAATGCTCAAAACATGTATAGTAAATAGCGAAATTTCATAGTTAAACCAAATATAGAATACATAAGTGAGTGGCAGTCAAAATCAAAACTAATCTAGTGAACTTCAAATAAAGCTTAACACTATATCTAGTTCAAGTACTATATACAATACATCGATATCGTTAGTTCATTAAACTCAACGTCACGTCTAGACGTAATGTTTTTACAAAGTGTTAAAAGTTAAATTGAAAAGTGCGTGTAAAAGTGCTGTGTTTATTTAATTTTCGGATAAATGGAAATTGCGTTGCAGTTCCTGGAATTAAGTTGACTGTGTAGCCTGTAAGGGGAAGGCTTGTGCATTGCTTACAAAGTCAGCAACTTGATTCCAGCAATTGCGGCCCAAGGACAACGTTGGAAAGTGTCAAATAACAAAAGCAGGACATCAGCAAAATTTGAATATGAATGTGAATATTAGTTGAAGGTTAACTACAGTTTGTAACGTTCTTAAAAAAATGTATGCTCCTTTGTTATGGAAATCAAAAGCAAATAAATAACAAATGGCCATTGTATTCAGCATTTGTGACCACTGGAAACAATGAGACCCCAAAAGCTTCTTATTTCAAGAAACGATAGAACAAAATAAAATATAACTTAAACATGTTGAATGTTCATGTTAATAAGCCACAAGAATTTTGTTGTAGACTTCGATACTAGTTTACCGCTAAAGAAAAGCGGAAAACCACAAAAATGCAAGGCAAAATAATTATAAAGAGCCAAAGCTCTTTATGTAACTTATAACGTTTATTATTAGGCATCAAAGTAAATGCATAATGTATAATAGTCACAATATGATTTTCCTTAACAATAAACGAATAAAGGCAACAAACTCCAAAGAACTTGTTATATTTTTATAAACAAACCAAAAGCTAAATTAATTTATATGTCTAATGATCTTTATATACTTATATACTTAGTATAATATATGTTTGTATATGTATTTGTATGAATGTGTATATGTGATTGTTATTTATTTTTCTGCAAACTTTTGCGTTACTTGGAGCATTGCTATGCCGTTTTCTATCCAAGATGCGAGATCTAAAATTTAACAACAGAAACGAACAAAAAAATTAGCCTCGAGTAGCAGGCAATATAACCAAGAATCATAAGCTATGTGAATTACTAATAAAGCTAAAACGAAATGTTAAGAATTAAATTGGAAAAATTAAATCATTTTACGAAACAAAAATATATGAAAATAAAAATTTGGGATTATAATAAAGCAATTTTGAATTTTCCGAAGGGTGGCACCAATTCTTGGAAACGACACTTGGGTTGTAATCGGCAAAATTCATGACACAGCAACTCAAAAGTAAATAAGCCCGAGATGATGGCCAAAATACCCAGACCCCAAACTCAAAGTACATTAGCAGAATATTATCAGCACAAAAATAAAGCTGATTACTGACGGCGACAGTTGTAAACTTCTAAATGACTGCCACGGCTTGGCTGATAAATTACAAGATTCTTGTCAACATACCCTTGCAACGGTGCGACCAGCAAAGGCTGCGACGCACAAGGCGTATGAGTGATTTTTATTTGGCAGATAATTTAACCGGCGTCATGGCAATGATACCCGCATCGCAAAATCACTTTGGCAAAGTAATTTGTAATCTATTGCGTTGCCCATAAGCAACATTTTCCGACCAGAGGTAAAGGCCAACACTTCGTATGAGCAATATGCCAATGGAAAAAATATTAAAATACTTTAAAGAGGACGCAACCGTCAATATTATAGAGTGCCATGCATGAAATTTATTTTCTAAGCAAGTGATACACTCCGCTTAAAAAATTCAAAGAACTTTTAAGCATATTAAAACCGATAAAGAGTAATTTGGTAGCCCATGCGTTTTTGAGTATCTACTCGTGTGTGTGAGTGTGTGTACGTGTACAAGTGAGTATCAATGTGTGTGTGGCTATATTGAAAATGCCAACGAAACGATGTACCAAAAATAAACCAAAATATTTTCAGGCAAAATTCGCGTGAAACCAACCCAGCCCAAAGCATGGCACAGCGTGAAATTATTCTATATGAATGCAAAGAAATTAAATGAATTTTTAGTACAGAAATTATATTAATGTGAGCATCAGGCATAGCTAACTTATTATAATACATCCATCAATTCGATAATAATTTCAGCCTGTAAAACTTTTTAGCATAACGCTGCACACTGGCTCAAAAGCACTGAAAATAAAAAAAAGTACCTTAGATAATGAGTATACTTTAAATAACTGCAACTGTAAAACTGTAAAAATAATCAAGATATCATTTTAATTTACCAATGTAAAAACTCCATGCTTAGACAAATTGATAAATATATATAAACTATTTTTGTAAAAGCCCCACTGATTTATAGGGATGTTGCCACCTCCAAAAGCCAACTGTGCAACATCTCTGAATCCCACACAAAAATCCGCATAATAAATATGACTGGAAATCAAAGTTCATTCATCAAAGTCGAAATTAAATCTGAGCACGCTTGACTTCTAACACTTGACATGCAGCCTGAGCCAGAGTTGCCCGCAAGCAGATGTTGACGTCTCTATGTGCTAGGTGCACCGCCCACAAAGGTGATCCATAATATCAGGCAGCCAATCATCGCTCATAAGATGCGCCAATTTGGCCATGACAAGTGACAGTGACAACGACGCGTTGGTGTCAAAAGCTGTGCGCCATTTCAAAAGTACCAGCATTTTTTCTATACCCTACAAGCGGGTAGTAGAATTTGATCACGAAATTTATTTATTAGAAATTAAAATTTTATTCGAAATCTGAAACTCTGGTAGGTAGCTGTAACTTGTCGTAGGAGTGTAAATCTACACAAGAAACAAAAAATCGGTATAATATAATTTTAATTTTCCAAACGTTCAGCAACAGTTCTCAACTTTTATTTTGTGTATATGAACAGGGCATTTAATAGTTGCTAGTATTCAAATTGGTTTTTGTTCTGTGCGCTTGTTGAATAAATATTTTAATATACAAGACACGCCGAACAGTAGATCTGCACATTTTCAATTTGCGAGCCAGTCGCACTCAGAGAGAGCATACACAACTGTCACCGGCACAGAGCTCATGCGACAATAGAGGAATCAAATGTGCTGTCGTTATATGTTTTATGAAATTTTAATAACTTTCATAGAGCGGCATCGAGCTGCCCAGGCACACGATTTGCCACCGGCATGTTGCCATCACGAGTTGATATGTAGAAGTATTAGTTTTTGTTGTTGCTAATGTTGTTTCGACCCTCCACGTGCCGCCCATTTGTTGTTTGCGTCTGAGTCGCGCGACACTAATACGAACACGGACACAACGCAAGCTCGAGCAGCAATAACAAATCTTTTTTAGATTTACGCACGCATTTCGGGTATGCCATCAAAATATTGTTATTACAAATGCAAATATTGACGCCTTGCATGCAGAGGGGGAAGTTGACAGTGGCAGCAACTGGATCTGTGTATGGAAATGGAAATGTAAATGTGAAGGTAGCGTTGGGTCTGCTGCTGGCTGCCTTGGGCAAAAACTTGGCATCTTGATTATGCGGCAGATTCGTTTGGGCTTTGGCGGCTTCAACACTCAAGGGATGCTTTTGGCGGCATAGCTGAGCGTGCCCTGTCTACAGCGAGTGGGCGTAGTAGTGGACGTACTTTAGTTGTGCTTATTGTCAATCAAAATGGGATTTTAGTACTTAAAATGCCCGGTAATTGCATATAATGCTTGCTAGTATTGCTTGTTGTGCTTCAATCTAGTGTTAATATGAGGCATTGTTGTTTTTTAGAGCCTTAAACTATATAAATATTTATTTTGATACTACGTATACTACGCTCGCATGCGACTCTGCGTTCTTTTTCAAAATGTATCATACGCGCCAAACTTAAGTGCGCCGACGCGCTCTCTTCGCCAATTCGCCGCAGCATGTGTTGTGTTTGGCCGGCAAGGAGTTGGCACGCCGCCCAGCATTCAGTTGCTGTCCAGTTTTCGTGTAAGCACAACGCATAGAACAGCACCAGCAAAAACATTACCATCCGTACGACTGGCAGTTGCTTCACTAAAAACAATAACATCATCAACAGCAGCAGCAGCAGCGACAACAATTGAAACCTGTGACCACTTGTCACACATGCTGTTGCAAAAAGGGAACTCAAGTGGCAGTGACAGTTGCCGGCATCGTTGTCGCTGCCGTTGTCGATGTCGATGTCGCTAGTGTTGGCGTCTAACTCAAGTGCCACTCTAGCGTCAGGCAACAGGACTGAGCCAGGACATCGGCCGCATATCAAGCGTGCGTGCTTCGATTTTGGCTTTGGCCGCAGTTCGCAAAACCCAGAACACAAAACTCGATACAACAGTGTAACGTGTCCGTGTGTCCGTGTCTGTATTGGTATCCGTGCTTTTGAGTCTGACTGTGTGTGCCTGTGTGTGTATATGTGTGTGTAT